AATAAATTATGGTTTGGCTAATTATCTGTCATACTAATTCTGCTACTTTTGCTAGAATATGTGTCTATATGCAATACCAATCCTAAGTCAAAGTGATCATAAAAGACTAATATTAGACTCTGCTCATCAAGGTTTTATAATCTAGGAAGAAGCCCTGATCGAGACTGCGTATGTTTAAGATAATTATACTGAGTATATTTTAAAGATAATGAGATATAAGCTTGTATATGTGTAAGTCAAGTTACGAAACCACATGTCCTCACCTCTCAGTTTAGGGTCATCAACGTTTAACTACCCAAGGAATGGCGTGACTTGGGATGCGTAATCCCGTACGTCTGGTTTGGTTGATGAGCTTAATCGAAAATGTTGGACGAGTGTGTTTGATGTTAGAACCATCATTGAGTAGCCAAGTTGAGTCGCCTACTTTTAGATTACGGCTTAACACCCTTTCTTTCCTTTAATCTATCAGTCAAGCACAAGTAATTCTTATTCAGCCTTCTGCCAGCTTTCTTTAAATTCCACATTCGTTAATTTATTAATTTTACTAATCTCTCTTATCTTCCTTATAACAGCAGAATTACCATAATCAGCACATCTACTAGCTTGAGGCCATTCTATCTCACGTCATGTCTCTGCCATGTGTCTTGCCACTTCTGACCGTTGGATGCAGCTCCATCTACAAGCATTTTTGTTTTCCTTTAGTCTTTTAGAGAAAAGTATGACCCATTATTGAGATACGAATGCAACAAGATTGTCTTCTGGTCGGCCTTCTTTTGGTAAGATATGCAATCCTATTCGACAAGGTCTATGGGAATACAGGAGTGCTTGTTAAGGGAGCTGCATCCAACGGTCAAAAATAGCAGAGACAGGCCATGCGATAGAATGATCTCAAACGTAGGTTTGCTGATTATGGTACATCTGCTATTAAAAGGAAGATAAGAGAGACTAGTAAAATTAATAGATTAGGAAATACATTGAATGTGAGGAATGCTGGTAGAAAGTTGAGTAAGAACTGCTTATGCTTGATTGATAGATTGAAAGAAAGATTGTTGATCTGTCATTCCAAACTAGGCGACTCAACTTGTCTATTCACTGATGGTTCCAACTTCACTCACACTCGTCTGACATGTTAGATTAAGCTACTCAACTAAAATAAGCGTACGGGATTACGCAGCCCCAGGCATGCCTTTCCTTTGGTTAATGATCCTAGACCAAGAGGTAAGTACATGTGATTTTATAACTTGACTTGCAATCTTGAATCTCATTATCTCAAACATACTTGCTTACGGGCTTGTCTCTGTCAGGGCTTTTTAATGGGTCATTAAGCCTTGATGATCAGAGCCTGACTTTTGTTCACTCTGGTTTACGACCAATATCGCGTACATACGTTAACACATACAAAGTCTCGAGCAAAAGTAGCAGGATTAGTATAAAAGATAAT